TTCGCAGTGATGATCGAACGTTATGTTGGCTATCTATTAGGCTAGAAGAAAACTTTTGAAACATCCCGAGGCTCAATTATGAAATTGATTTCTTGCTTTTTATGTCTACAAAAATTCATGACATGTTTTGATCATCAGATGTTGACAGTTAAAAGACCATTTGATAACAAGGATCTTTGATCAGACAAAGGATGAACGAAGTCCGATAGTTGAGCTCTGGGTTGTTGCGAAAATTTCTTTTCGATCTATCTATCAGATTGCATTTTTAATCGATTAAGGTAATTACCTCAGAACTGATACTGAAATGGTAATGGAAAGTATCGATCTCGGAGATCGGCGAGAGCTTATTGATCTCATATATGGGGTGAGCATCAAAACAGAAATTGAGAAAACTTGATTTCTGCCTACCAGCTATGGTCATGATTCCAGCCACAAAAAGGAGAGATTGACAAAACGCCTACAGCCTCCAGTACCACGCTAACGCCTAGAACGGAGAATGAGAAGATCAAAAAGACGAAAAAGGTAACTAACTCGTTTTCATTTGGATAATAAGTACAGCGCTAAATGAGCAGAACAAAGTGGCGTTGCAAGCCGTGCGTGTTTCCTTGGATCGACTTTCACATCGAAGTTTTGTAGCTCTAGCCGGACAAACCCTGCATTTTTGGTCGTCCCGGTGCCTCTAGCATCTCTACCAGACATTTTTGCCATCAGATATTAACAGTTAGACGACCATCTGGTTTCAAAAATCGTTAAACGGGTAATAGCTCAAATTACGATTTTTGTCTATTTCATTCACTATCAGATTTTATACATAGTTCATAGCCAGCCTAGCCAGCTCGCGTCCGGCTCGAGAAGGAGGGGGAGGGGGAGGGGATGTGGATGTTAGGGAATTTGCAAAAATTCGAGAGCATTGTCATTTTAGGTCATTTCAGCTTTTTTTTGGCAGAGACTATTTGATCCTTTCCAAGGCTCTCTACAAAGTAGAACTTCTAGAGTTTTCCAGCCACTGTCGGATTTTATACTTGACAGTCAGCTTTGCCAGCTCGCAGTCCGGCTCGAACCGACAATAGGAGGGAGAGGGGGTTGACAATGGAAGTGTGGGGAAAGTAAAGCGGAGTTATTCAGTTTACATAAGGAAGCTCGGAAGAGTTAAGCTAATGTTTGGAATTTCACAACCGATTTTGACAGTAAAGTTATCACCCTATTATACCGTATGCTTTTCAGTCTCGTGTGGTATGCTCTTACACCACGATTTTGTTGCTGTTCATTTTGGCAGCTGCCGCTGTCATTCTCAGCGGATTTATCTCCTATTGGTTAACTCGTCAAGAATACGAGATGAAACTGGCCGCATTGCCGTTTGCTGCAATCCCAAGGAGAAATGTGTAAGTTGTCATGCTTTATAGGCGCTTAGATTAAGCTCCGGCCACTTAGTTCATATGCGGTTCCCAATGAACCATTTGCATGGTCTTACTTTCAGCCCGAGCTCTTGCTTTTCTATAAATCGCCTTTGATTGTGTTAAGCTAATTAAGATAATCTAGGGCAGGTACAACTTTCATAGTTCTCCAATAGCCCGAAACGTCTTGGTTAATCAAGCATTCCAGCTCCACACTTTCAAGTTGGCGATACTGCAGATGTCCGGCGGAATATCGCAATCTATTCAACGCGCCAATACCATGGAAAAATGAATGCATGGCGCACCCTCACAAAACCTGACGTGTCGTTGTGTGCCTCTTCTTCGTTGTCCCTTGATGGAAGATTCTGACACAAATTGACCAGCCTGCGAACGTAAGACTTGTTCAACCTGCGCGATAGTGAATTCGATCTCCGAGACGGCGCATTTGGTAGCGCCGCCACTTGCCATTCCCAATTTTGCTCCACCACATGCATTGAAAAACAAATCTAGTCCTATTCTAGAGGGTCTATGCTATCGGTCATAAAGCATATAGCATTCTGTGCTGGTCAGCCCTTCAGTAGAATGCGCCATGCATGCCGCGTTCATTCCGAATATAAAATGACTGCTTAATGGTTTTTAGTTTTTCTTTGTTGATCAAAGCTCCTTTCCTACAGTTATGGTCAGATTTTGCAGGACAAAGTTAATGAGAGAAGAAGAAACATATGAGGAAGAAGAGCCGAGTGAAGGGCCAACTATGGAAGAGCTTCGATTGCCGGACACTCTCGAACCAATCTGGTTAGTTAGCAAGTTCACTTCAGTCTCAACTAACTAGCTCCTCTTTCACACAAAATTGTCTGTGACATCCCCAACTTAGCTTCGCTCTATGAGAGAAAAGCAGCGGTTTGTCTTTTTTACAACTGAGGACCGTAAAAATACAAATAGCGAAGTTATACGGTGGGCGGATGTATGTATGTATGTATGTATGTATGTATGTATGTATGTATGTATGTATGTATGTATGTATGTATGTATGTATGTATGTATGTATGTATGTATGTATGTATGTATGTATATGTATGTATGTATGTATAGTGTTGTATGTGTTTGTATAACGTTTCAACCTATACGCGTAACCCATGATTATTAATCTGTGAGCTATACGCTCATGAACCATCCCCGCGTGAACTCTGCCTCACTCGAAAATCCCGCTAATATCGAACTAAAACAAGAACAATCACATCGAGTTTCTCTGACCAAATATGACCACTCCGTTTTCCGTTTAGGTACAACATGACTTGAGATGTACCTGCCGGGATATGTCGCGTTGCCCTGAGGGCAAAAATTTCACTACTGACGGCAACATTTTGATCAAATTAGCTGTAAAGCAGCCTACCACTGAGGTAAAAATCCACCAAAGATTTTTGAGTAACTAACGTTCTGAGAGTTTTCCACTGATTGCCGCTCACAGTTATACGACGCTAAGGACCTCAGCTTTCCCGTTGATGCCAACAAAGTGAAGATCTTGACGGAACGCTTTGCCACAGTAAGCCTTTCAACACTTCTTTTAGTACTTGTAAAATACCTCTACATCGCACTTTATCATTTTAAAGTCAATGTTTTCAGAGAAGCGAACGGCAGGTGATGGATGACTCTTCTGTACGTTTACCTACAAATTGATGTAGTAGCGCATTTTTCCACTTGTTTTACAATCTTTTCAAATTGTGACATCTCCACTTTGCTGGAAATGAAAATGGAAAACTCCACAACATAAATCTAAACTCTCAGAAAAAAGCCACTGTAAATCCAGTCAAACGGTTGGAACTGGTCGAAACCAGCACCAAAGTTATACAGATCGTGTACAACAACACACTGGAGAAAGTCTCCTTTATTCTGGACGGTCTCTCGAAGCTGGAAACCCAGTTATTCTTCAGTGCGGTCTAAATTCGTTTTTGATTGTTTAACTAAGGGTGCGGTAAATTCTCTGTCTGAAATGAGCCACGTACTGAAAGAATCGTGATGGCATTCGATGTATATATAACACATATGCAGGGTAAGCAAAAATTACGGTGACAAAAGGTTGCCGCTCTCTTCAATTTCAAACACCGGAAAATTTTGGTGGGCTCTCTTCAAGCTTCAGTCCGGTTAAGAACCAGCCTGTGGCGGAGCTGCTGGACCAGCTGCACCATTTGGTTCATTAACTCTACTACCTACGCCGAGCTCAAAGTAGTCCGTGACCTAGAAGACCCAACCCTCAACTTAGCAAACGACCCCAGCAAAACGCCAAAAAGGTAGTTTGCTCACTCTTCACTTTACACCCTATCATATTTGTTTCTTCGAGTTCTCAGTTTAAGCGATTTTACTGTTTTGAATTTTTAACCCGAATTGATTCCAGTTGCCATTTAATGGCCGAATTTCGGACAATCTTACTGGTCTTTTCGTTTCTAGTTACATGAGGAGCGATGGACGGAGCAGGTGTCGTTAATTTGTATTGTATCTTTTGTCTTTATTATTTTCTTATGTATATAGTGGATAGACAGGGGGCACGTATAATGTGACATTAAGATTAGCGACGATATACCCAGCGATAGTAAGCTTTATTCGCCGTGTACAGTGGCATCCATTAGGTGCTGCTACCTTAGGATTTTCCTTGGCGCAACTAAGCCATTTTTAACATCTGAGAGTTGGGTGCGCCAGAAGGAGGCGTAGTTCCACGAGCTCTCTACGTGCAAATCCGTCGTCAAAAAGTAAAGTACCCAGGATCAAGATGGTGGGATACAGCGATGAAGAATGTGGGATGCTGAGCTGGTGTGGAATAAGAAGAAAAACGAAGGGAACCGTCGGAGAATCCTCACTTTCGCCTCGGCGTGGGGAATGGGTGTATCGGAGCATACTTAATTTTGTAAACTCCATACCACGCTGCTTGCTCTAATAGAGTAATGAGAAAAGAAAAAGAAAGGAGGAATAAGTGAAGAGAACAATTCCATATGATGAGATTCGTCACTTTGTAAGGCCTTAACTTGTTGGTCCTTATTGAGCAAACGGCCGACATTATCGCAAGCTGGCTGACGTTAGAGGAATGTGCACCGACATTTCACTTTCATTGGAATCTCGATTCCTGTGCACCCACTTTTTAGAGATTAATGCATATTTTTATTTATTTTTATTATATTTATTTTTTTATATTTTTTTTTTATTTTTTGACTTTTTTTGACTTTTTGATTGTGAACTAACTGTTGTTCTCAAAACTCAGATTGGCAGCAGTCACGGATATCCAGCCAGGATCGGCTCGGACATTATTTCCATGCTTTGACGAGCCTCATTTCAAAGCCCCGCTGTCGCTTACTATTCTTCATCCAAAAGGAACCACAGCCACAGCGAATGCAATGGAGATCGCAGCCGGGCAGGCAACGTAAGCTCTAGAGACAAAACGCGATTTTTTCGAAATTTGCTGTTTTTCAGATCTGATCCAATGTGGCTGAAAACGTCTTTCGACGCCACCCGACCATTACCCACGTCCTTGACAGCTTTCACGTTGACCGACTTTGTAAAAGCTCAGACAACCACGGACACCGGAGCTAAGGTTTGGGATAGATTCGATCTTGCTTGCGCGATCAACAAGTGCAGCGATTGATAGCGACGCGGCCAGCGCACTCGATAGCAACTGTTTGGCGCGATGCGATGTTGCGCCGTTCCGGCTGCCGTGGTCGGGGTTCGTTTCCGCGCAATGAATGTTTACCATCTTTCGGGGCATAACGCTCTTGATGATACCATAACCCCTCTGAGCGCATCTTTTATCTGCTAGATATTGCATATGTCATCATATGGACCAGATTTTGTTGTCGTTCGCCTAGTTTATTCGTCCTTCCCTAATTGAGCATTAGTTTAAGTAGATTAATGTGATGGGAAAAGGATTACTGTATCAGCATGTACCGTAACCCTACCTTCCCACCTTACAAGTTGAAGTGATATTTTTCCATTTATGCAATTTAGATCAGAGTTTATTCCCGCCCAGAAGCCATCAACTCAACCGAATTCGCCTTAGAAACGTCCGCGAAGGTCCTTGAATTTCTTCAAAGATACCTTGCTGTTCCTCCCAGGAGCGCCAAACTGGGTCAGTTTACAAAATAAACAGGTTGTAACCTTTGCAAGTATTTTCTCCAAATTGACAACGAGTGTAGACGTGTTCGCTCTACCCGAGCTGGCAAAGGCCGAGATGTCTGGCGATGGATTGATCTTGGTTCGAGAAGATCGTCTGCTTTATGATCCCAAATTGGACACCATCGAAGGAAAGGTGCAAGTCGCTCAGACCATCTGTCATGAATTCACAAAACAGGTACAGTATTCTGCCAGATTCTTATTTTCTGCTTCCCTGTGGAAAACCAGTTAAAAGCTGATACGGCAGGGAATGGGCGGGGGCTAGGCTGTTTGCATTAGAATAAGTAAATGAATGAATAAGAAGAAAAAGAAAATATGAAGAATACGAATAAAATGAAATAGGGAAGTTCCGAAGGAAAGTGCCATGGCGGTGCCAAATAGAAATGTTATTAATTCGAGACTTCGTGCAGCTACCAAAGGAGAATGTCAGAGTCCTCTCTTTACGTAGAAAAATTGTTGGAAGTCATATCGGCTGCCCTATAACTCATGCCAACACCCCCCCCCCTCCTCCCTGGGGTAACATCTACCCTCACACGTAAGATGAGCCGAAGTTATGTGTTGCAAGGAAGAAAAACTAATTGAAAGCACGATCACAGAGGGGAACACCGTTTCACTTTTGTGAAGGTAACCGAGTCTTCCCCCCTCCCTCCCCTCTTACATAGAGGAGAAGGGGGAGAAACAGTAGATACGATACGACTGACACGTCGGATATTTCGTTCAAGTATTTACTAGCCCCTCAGGATTCTTTATAAAACTTGGCGCTTAGAGAATCAATGGCTCTTCCAATGTGGGTCTGATTAACTTGATGCTTGTTCAGCTCGGCGGTTACCCGAGGTTGTGACGACTAGGAGACACCTTTGACCTTCCTAGTTAACTGTTACGGGGCGCTAATTACAGTGGTTTGGAAATGTCATGGGAAAATCGGACTTGAGAGGATTGTGGATGAACGATGCCCTGGCTAAGTACATGGAGTATATTTGTCTGGAAAACCTTTTCACAGGATTAGACAAGGTTCGTTGATGTCCAGTTTTGAAAATGCCTTCTACATACTTCTTTATGTCATGCCTTGTTGTACCCTTCATATTTAATTAATTATTTACTTATTTATTTATTATTACATTAGGTTTACTCCTATAACTCATACCATTTCATGATTTTCTGCATATTTTTTGTATTATGAACATCACCAAAATAATATTCGTTTTCCTTTTTTCCTTTCTTTCTATGGTGAATAGAAATATTCGCTCTTTACAGTATCTTATTGCTGACGTGATATTTCGTCTCCCAGGTAATTCACCTGCTCAAAGCATTTCCATCCCCCCCCATAGCATTTGAATGTTAAACTGCTAACTTGCCACAGAGTTAGCGATTCGCTAGCGAATCGCTCGATATCTGATTCTACAGGGGGGGGGGGGCAAAAAAAAACATTTTGCCTATGTCGGACTTCGGCTCTTTTTTCTTCGCAGAGATTGCTGTCGTTGACGGGAGTTCCTCAGCAGAGTATTCCCTAAGTGTCCCTCTATAAGTGAACGCAGGCCCTCCTTCACTGCCCTCACCGTCTTCAGAATATGACGTCATCTGTCACCGTCGTCAGGCTCAAGGAGGTCTACCGTAAGAGCTTCAGCCTGAAGCTCTTACGCAATTTCGTGAATCGATTTAATGTTGGATAGTTTTCTAGAGGCATTAGCTACCACTGTGCAAATCCCCTCGAACTAGCTTTCCAGTAAGGGTCGTTATGGTACACGATCCTTCGAAGACCCCATTGAGATCGACCAGTGCACCATGTTTCCAGGGCTAATTCTTCTGATGCCGTCCACGTACGTGGCCACTATGAAGATTTTCTTATAGAATGGAATGCACTCTTTAATAATAAGTTGGAACCGTTCGGTCTGAGTTGAGTAAAATGTGCTTAAATCCATCTGGAAGTGGAGGCAAAATGTCTTTTTTTTTGCCCCCCCCCTGTATATATGTTCATGAATGATTCACTAGACATGCCGTACTATTTCAATGGGCAATGAATAATAAATAAGCAAATAAATAAATAAACAAATAAATAAGTAAATAAATGAATAAACAAATTTAGAACAGCTACCAGACGGTTGACTCTGTGGAACAAGCTCTTCTCGATGATGCCCGTTCATTATCTCATCCAATGGTTCTCGATATGGAAAGCCCTTCTGGAGCAGGGTTAATGGCAGATGAAATAACAAGCGATAAGGTAGGATTGAAAACGACAGTTCGCATGTATCCTTTTATTAGGTTTGCCGCATATTTCGCGTAGTGAATATTTCGATTTATGCTATAACTAAGAGCGCCAGTAGTAGTGTTACGTGCATATCTAAAATTCAAACCAACCAAAATTTTATTGAGGAATCTAAAAAGTGGGCGGAAGTGGTGTAGTGGCAAGTGGCACGCTTACCACGCGAGCGGTCCGGGGATCAAATCCTGGGTCGTGAGTCGCCCGGGCCAACCAAGCCTTCCATCCCTCCGGGGTCGGTTAATTGGTACCAGACTTGTCTGGGAGGATAAAAAAACACTGACTTGTACATCGGCCCCCGCAAGTCATTGTATAGGCCACATCGCCACTACGAATGTACAAATGGAAGTAGAATGCGTGCCGCATCCCAAAAAGGGATTGATCAACGGCAAATGCTTCATCCATTTATCCAAAAAACGTCATAGGAACAGCCACTAAGAGGCTAGAGGAGAGCAAAAGAGCCTTCTGATCTCCACACACAATCATTGTATGCCAATCTTCATATGGAGCGCCTAGCGTGCGATTTCCCCACGACAAGTGGTATGGAGGTAAGTGGTGTACTTATCACGCCGACGAACCTGAATCGGCCTGTCTAGAAGGATAAAAAACTGCATTTTACATCGGCTGGCCTTCAGTGTATACTAGACGAGTCGCATTCAAAATGGCTTTGCGATTCTGAGCAGAGTACATAGAATGCGTGGCGCATTCCAAAAAGGATTGATCAACATTGTGTACGATTTATGCTCGGATTGATAATCTTCTATCGTATATTAGTCCTTTATGCTTTGATTGATAATCTCACGAAGGTGATAAATCTATAAGTTTTTTTTAGTGAGAGGAAAAATATTCTTTAGGGAGCTGCGCTGTTACGTATGCTGAAAGAGGTGATTGGAGAGGACAATTTCCAGCGTGGTATTCAGGTAACACTCACACAACTTTTACATTTTTTTTGACTTCAATTCACCATTCTGATAACTGATGCGACTGCTTCATCCGTAGGAGTTTTTAAGCCGAGCAG